AATATAAACAAAAGAAATATATCGGTTAAACATGCTAAATAACTAAAAATTATATTAAATTTTCTCCTAAATAAACTTTTTGCTTAAAGCAAATACCTATTTGCAGCGTAGCACCATCGGAAACAAGAGTTTCTGCAACAATACTACCGACTGTGTTCTCCACCGTAGTAATTGGTGGCCATCTTGTTTCATGCAAAGGTACATCAAAAGGAAGTAAATAATCAATATGGCTAATATGTATAGCTGCTTCTCCCCTGGTGAATGGTACGTGTTTATTTACTTGGCCTAGGATTGATGACCATCATACAAATATGACTTACCAATTATATATTTAGCGTTTTGGATAGCTGGTCTTACGATATCTACACTTGTACCCAAAGAGCAAAATCCATGCTCATCGGGAGGTGATACACTTATAAGAGCATAATCAAGAGCAATAAGCTTTTGCCTAAAAAGTAGGGGAATTTCACTAAGAAAAATAGGAATGTAATCAGCAATTCCCGAAGAAACAGCTTCTCTACAGTTTGTTGCAACAAAGAAGGAAGATGAGCGAAAATGGTTAGCAGCTTCACCCTCTGTGAATGGATATTCTCCTTCCGTGTGTATATGAAAAACTTTAATGTTTTTTAAATTATGTGACACAGCATAGTTGACTATTTGCTTAGATAAAAAAGTTGGAGTAGCAGCACCGCCATGTAAAAAAATGTTCGCATCTTGAGTTATTTATTACTAAAAAAATATTACTATCTGATAAGCTGCCAAACATTTCTTCGGTATTTTTTGACCATTTAGGAAATCGACCAGGTATTGGAGATAAAGGTTCAGTTGGACCATCTATGTAATAAAATCTTTTGGGTGTAAAATTATGAGTTCTACATGACCTAAGGACCCTAGAGTAGATAAGATATTCGCATCGCGATAACATAGTAGAGTCTGTTTTGAATGCAGAAACAAAATACAATGTCATTGAAATTATGTGTATTGGTTGAGTAAAAAAAATGACATAGATTAAAATTATGTTTAATAGAAATTAATTGATAAATGTAAAAAATATTATATGAGAATTGTTTTAAAGGATTTATTTTTTAATGAGGAGACAATTATTACAAGTTGAATTTATAGTCTATATATTTAATATTTGGCCTAGTTGAGTATTATTTTTTTTTAAAGTATTATTTAGATAATAAGAAATATATCTACCAAAGTGCTAAATAAGATTAATAAATTTTTTAAATTAAAATAAATGGAGTATCAAGCACATCATCAATTATGCTTAATTTTAATTGATCTGTCTTTTCCATTTTACTCTTTCAGACTTGACGTATTTCTCCTAGCTTATCCATGATAAGAACAAACTCTATCCAATTTGGGTATGTGCACATTAACGTTTTTCATATTACATTGGCTACTTGAACTATTCATTATTCTTTTCAATGGTATCTAATTATTTTTTATCGAAAGCAATTCAAGATTTCTTACAATTTAACTTAGAATCTAATCTTTTTCGTTTTTAAAGTATGTTTGGCAAAGGAAGATATTGATTTGGTTAGACCTCGTTCTCGCAACCCTGTCGGTTCATCAGGGAGATCTTGCGAAGCGAAACTAGTTTTATATGTATATGCTTAAAATTATTTATCTTATTCAATAATTTGGCAAACTAAGCTTTCATCACTAGCTCGAGTAATAATTGATTTGTTCCATTAAATATTTCACCCAAAAATATTTTTACTTATAAGAACTTTATTCTCCCCAGAACTGGTCATATGAGATGTATTCACCCGATTTCATTTAAGGTAATGAAGGACTGGTAGAAGAAGAAATTTTCCCACAATGATATGAGATAAGCTAAATTTTTCATCGAATTTCACATAGCCTTGCTTTCACAAATGTTGTTCTCATCCAGGGTGAACTGCAGTTTCGACCTCGCATCGGTTTTAGCAACACCCCCAGCGGGAGTCAAACAGCGACAGTGCAGATTGCTTAACGTGTCAAGCTCCCATTCTGCACTGGTCATTGTCGGGCTTGACAAGATTACATTATCACCCACAGCAGGACTCAAATCAAACAGATGGTAATGTAATCTATAGCCATGACACGTTAATTACTAAGCCATTCTGTAGAACGTGCTCTTATATCAGTGGGAAGTTGTGAATTTCACAAATACATAGAACTTGTCCGTATCGGATTTCCCTTGTAGAATTGAGAGGAGCAAAGTCGTATATAATACTTTGAATTAATAGATTCAATATTTAGTATTGTATTAATAAAGAAGTAAATTTGTCTTTAGTTCTTTACAATCCCACTACAGAAATGTAATATCGAAATGTCTAAGACCTTTTGAAATTCGCATTTGCTAAATTCTAAGGAAGTTTGATGGCAATTTAACGTTTGGGTTACCAAGTTTTGTCTTTATACTGCACTAGCCTAATACGGATTTAAGGAATATTGGGGATGCTGCTAAAACCAGATCGAGATCAAACCTGCACGGGATGAGAATAATTTATAGGAAGCAAGCGTATAGGCAAATAACTGGAAAATAAAATGCTAATAAAAATGTTATCTCAAAATTCAAATATAAATCCTTCATTACATCACATAATATAGGTTTTAAATATATTTTTGTAGGATTTTGTGTATTTTAAATTTAGTTGGAATTGATTCGTATAATTTCCCTCACTTGAATATAACGTTTATAGCCATGGACATTTTACCATGTATTAATATACAGAATACCTTTTCGAAATATCTAGCAAGGCTACCAAATCAGTATTTTAATTTAGTTCTCCGTGAGACAGTAAAATGTAATTCATTTAAACTAAGTAAATTATATGTCTTGAAGAAATGAAAACCAGGATAGTGTGGTCTTTTGTATGGTCGTGGCTTCCTTTCGTTATATAGAAGTCATTTTGACAGGAATACCTAGGGGAACGCACATAATTCGGAGTCAATAGCATGCAAAATAATTTACAGAGTCGGAGCGTGGACTTGGTACAATCCAAGACGTATCATAGTCGGCATCGTCCTTCAGCTCTGCCATTATTAGCATTACACTAGAATTCGTTAAAGAGACAAGTAAAGTCGATCCTTTTACCAATTGTTTGCTAAACAGTTGTAGTATATCTCTATCTGTCCCGGGCTCTTCATC